CAACAGCATGACTTCCGAACGCTGCTCTAAGTCTACATAGCACCAATCTAATCCTCTACACTGAAGTCCGAGCTCCAACTCTGGTATCCTGAAAGCGAACACCATGGAGACCTCAGTTCTAACCCCATCTTCGCTTGGTCAACATTTGAATGAGTAATTGCTCCAATTTACTTCTGTTTACAATACCTACTTGTTACAGAATCTCCTTCGTCCCGCTTCCGCAAGTACCCAGGCAATCGTCACACGAAGCACGTACAGAGTACTGCAGTGTAGCTGACAGTCTTTGCAAGGGCGGTTTTTCAATACTCGGACAGTCTGAGTGACCGACAAATACGGCTACTCGATCTTAACTTCGGTCATGGCGATGAGATCGTCTGTCTCGATATCCGGACGTACAGGATCGACGATCCTCCGCCGTATATCGCACTATCTTACACATGGGGAGACCCAAAAGACACTGTGCCCGTCCTATGTAATGGGAGAGTCATTGCTGTGACTCGAAATCTTAAAGAAGCTTTGTGGCAATTTCGAGAAGATCGCAAAAGATTGGTCAGACCGAAGTCCTCTACAATGTCTCGTGGCCAGCTTCTGCACTTTTGGATCGATGCCATTTGTATCGACCAGACAAACAACGAGGAGAAGAGCTTCCAGGTTGGTTTGATGGCAGAAATCTATCAGCGGGCTCGTCATGTCTTTGCGTGGTTGGGACCAGCAGACAAGAGCAGCGACTTAGCGATCCGTTGCATCAACACCATCGTAACAATGGCGGAAGCTTATGGTATGGAAGATGCGTTCGAAGCATGCCACAAAATATGGCATGAGATGGTCTTTGTGCCTGGGGGGATTCAGCGACTTGTCTCGGTCGACCCAGTCATTCAAAACGTAGATGGATCCCTGTTTACGGTATCCGGCAAGGCCTTCCAAGTTCTGTTCGATTTCGTTAGCGGCTGGAGCAGTCAGAGCAACTCGCTCCCAATTACTGAGTTGAAAAATTTCTTTACCAGATCGTGGTGGACACGGATGTGGGTCTTGCAAGAAATTACTCTTTCAAGAGACACACATTTCATTTGCGGAGCGCAAAAACTCTCAAGGACCCACTGCGACGCTTTTATACAGATGTATGCTGCGCTTTGGAAAATTATCGTCACTGCGTTTCAGAGAGATCAAACATCTTTAAACCAGTACCAGCGTGGGATTGTCACGGGATTGTTTCATCACCGTCCTACCATCCTGCTTTCCATGCCAAGGATACATCATAAAAGCAGATTCCCATTGGCGGCCCTCCTTCGTGCGACGTGCGTTGGCAGCATAAACTTGAATTGGCATGGACCTCATAACCTCGAATCAACAAAGCCAGAGGACAAAATCTTCGCCCTGCTAGGCCTGGCTGCAGATCGAAAGGAGTTGGAACGTTTTGGCGTTGTCCCAAACTATGATATCCCGTATGAACAAACATATGCTACTACGATGGCAGCACTACTACGACAGGGTCATATATCCCTGCTCTCAATGTGTCAAACCCCAAGGTCGCCAGATCTTCCATCTTGGGTTCCGGATTGGTCTCGATCCGTGACCGATATGTTGCAGGATGTACGGAACGACCATATGACTCTGTATCCAGAGTTCAGTTCCTCAGGACATGGAACCCATGGAGCTTCAATCAAGATATTCGAGGATACTGGGGCAGTAAAGCGCATATCAATAAAGTCTTATCTTTACGATGAGATTTATCAGGTCGGTCGTTTCGCCAATCGGACTAACAGTAAAGAGATACCACTCTCGCAGGCGTACTCATGGCCGATAGACTGGCTGCTCGAGATTATGCGCCTAAGCTATTGCAGGAGGAAAGATTACAAAGGATTTCACAATCGATTACGTGCAAGCGGACGAAGTTCAATCGGGGACGTTGGATGGGACAAAGATGGGGAGTTTGACCGGGTCGGAAATGTTCGGTTTGCTGATGCTGTTGTCCTCCTACGTGACGGACTTCAGTTAATCAGAAATGCGCGCTTTAAACGTGAGGCAGAACGCTTCATAGCCAGTCAGAAACTAAGCAGTGTAGTCAGGGACAGGATCGGGAATGAGCTTCGACTGGTATCGGAAATTAGAGGAAAGAGCTTGGGACGGCTTCCTTTCGTGACTCAAAAGGGTCATCTCGGCCTGAGTTCTGAACGTGTAATGCCGGGTGATGCGATTGCAATTATTGCAGGGAGCCAGGTTCCGTTTGTAATTAGACCGCAGGACAATAGGCAGTTTAGCGTTGTCAGCGAAGCCTATGTGGACGGCATTATGGATGGTGAGGTTGTAGGCACTTTAGACTACAGTTATATTACCTTAGTGTAGACTTTTGCGTCTACGTACAAGCAACAAGACAACTATATATTACTTGTGTATCGTCTATTGCAGATTATAGTATCTAGCTATAGTGCCTTTTAAGGTTTACCTACTAAAGCTATAAAGATTAAAGCATCTATTCTCTCTATTAAACTTAGAGCAGAGAAGCTCTGCTATTAGTACGCGTTACGAATGCTATATTTTTCTAAGAGCTGTTCTCTTAGAAAACCGCTACAGCTACCTACTACAGGTATAAACAAAATTAAGTTCTCGCTATTTGTTGTATTTTCTTATACCTTCTACTATACGTTAAGACTAATTACGCTAACGTTAAGAGAACTATATTATACGCTGTAAGACTATTAGTACTAATAAGAAATAAGCCTAAACGTTACTATAAGAGGCTACGCTTAAGAAGCTATTTTATAGGTATACCTAAGTTATATTTAATAGAGCACTAAGATCTAGGTTACGTAGTACTTATATATAAATACTATAGATAGTAGAGATAGCTTATTACCTAAGTAATAATTAGGCTAATAAAAGAACTAAGGTTAGAGAAGAGAAGTTAAGAGCGCAGCCTATTATAGTTTCTGTAGCTAGAAAACAGAGAGTTATACTAACTAAAGCTAGAGTAGTTAAGGCAAAGCTTATACTAAGCAAGACTAGAGTACGCGTAAAATAACATCTAATTAGTATATAGAAAGTAGAAACTGCAAGTGCATGTAAGTGTACGCCTACTAGTATTAGAGCTGTGCTTCGATAAACGGCTCTCCTATACAGCAGTATAACCTATTGCTTTTCAGCGAAACTCAATTCTGCTACACCGTCTCAAAGTGAGACATCAGGCGTTCGGATGGATAATAGGCCTAAGGTACCTGCCTGTTGAGATGCGCCTCCCTTGGCGTAGGCAGCAATGATCGCGGGGCATGCAACACGTCACTCTCTTTGCAGCCTTCTCAGTCACAACGCGACTTGCTGCTCTACGGATACCACTCTGAACTAAACCACACCTGGGCAGCACCCGATTTAGTTCTGTCCCGCAAATCACCGACTATCGTGGACATGGAGGAGAGAGTTGAAGTTGCGCTATTGAACTCTCGAGGATCACCGGATGCGGGCGCTTCGTATTGTGAGGAGTGCTTACGTGTGGATCGATCCTTGAACGACATTCCTGATATAGCGGCCAGACACGATCGCCGAAGACGTCTGTTTCTTTCGCTTTCGTTGAAAGCTGATACAGCCGACATCAAGCCAGACACGACCTGTCCATCGTGCAGAGACTTTCTCAATATACTCGACGAAATGCCCCCCGATATTTGCAATACCAAACTCAGGATTGAAGGGCACCGCTTCCTTGAGCCTCACAAGGGAGAAATAGAGTCAGCATCGGTCGATATATCAACGAAAAGGTACTTATGGGCAGAACCCGAGAGTTACCTGTTACCGCGCTTGGACTATCCTATGCGACTTCGAAACGATTCGGCCAGTCATGACAACGCAAAGAATCTCCCCACAGTACTTATCAAATCGTGGCTGCATACATGCGAGCGCGATCATGAAGGCTGTCGGTTCGATTTCTCCAACGAGTTGGGGATACCGCTCTACCTCATTGATGTAGTCGAAGAATGTGTCACTCTCAAGCCCATCTCGAATTTGCGCTATACAGCTCTAAGCTACGTTTGGGGTAACGTCAGATCCACCAACTTAACTTCTGCGAACTTGGAGGAGCTTCGAAAACCTCAAAGCCTGTCATCCGGATCGCATGTCGCTACTGTACCGCAGACTGTTAGAGATGCTATGCGTCTAACCGCAGACTTGGACATTCGCTACCTATGGGTGGACTGTCTCTGCATGATTCAAAACGATCCCAATATCTCCTTTTATCTGAACCGAATGCATTTGGTCTATGCCAATGCCTTTCTGACCATTGTGGTGGCAAACAAGGACAACGCGAACGGCGGCATCACTGGCTACGATACCCGTTCGATTCGCCGCATCCTACCTGGTAAAGTCATCAACTATCCAAACTACGTGCTTGGCATGGAATCAGTGACTACTCTAGCAACCGCTTCTGACTTACCATGGTGTTCGCGAGCTTGGACACTACAAGAAGGATTTTCTTCTCGGTGGGTGCTAGTAATCGACGATCGAATCCGTCTCCAATGCATGGGAGACTCTTTAGAAGAAGGCTCAACTTTTGGATTCAAGTTCAATTCCAATTTTTCGGACAAAATGCTAAACCTTCAGCCAATCCTTTGTCGAGCCTCGCCGACTGAACGGGAACCAAAGTGGTGGGCATACTCGCAAGCGGCAAGAAGTTTCGCTCCTCGCGCATTATCGTACGATCAAGATTCTATAAAAGCATTCTTAGGGGTCATCAACTTCTACACGAGCCTGGATGATCTTCAGTGTGCAGTTCATACGAGATTGCTTTATGGCCATCCAATATGTATGCTTTCACGCGCACTCTTGTGGAGCTCGACAACGGCTATCTTGGAGAGAAGAATGTTGCTACGTCCAGATGGCTCATTCATCATGCCCAGCTGGTCGTGGATGGCCTGGCGACACAATTGTCAAACAACATTCAGCACACCTCTCGGTCTTGGGTGGCCTGCTGGTACATACGAGGCCAAGGAGCAAATACCCATCGTTATCTATGCGCAATGCAGTATTTGTATGCAGAACCACCAGATGACAAGCGAGAAATGCAGAAATAAGGCGTCCCGGAAGCTCGTCAGCCCGGAATATCTCGACCCATACCTGTACATGAAAGCACAAAAAGGACACTTTGATGTGTCACGCGACGTTAAAGAGTCCCCGCTTGAATTCGAAAGAGATCTGATATATGTGGGCACTACACAGAAAGCAGGCATCATTGTAGGCAAAATGTCCCTTGACCACTGGCCTCCGCAGTTACCCCGGGGCGAAGCTGGTACCTTGGATTTCATCGGCATCTCCTATATCGAAGGTAATCAATTCTCCTACCATAGACGTCCCAAAGTTGAGGCGCTCTGTGTAGTACCAGTCAACGGTAAACCAGGCGTGTTCGAGAGGCTGGGTGTAGCTACAATCTTGAAGGACGCGTGGGATCAGGCTGCTCAGTTCGACGAGATCATACTAGGATAGTGTATGAAGTATCAATGGCTCGCAATACGGGACAGCACGCAATTTCAAAGCATGAGAATCGGCTATGACTGTCGATCAAATTGCCTTACCCACGAGGAAGTGACAGTATGACAGAACGGCCTAACCCTCCCTGGAAGTAGATAGAAATGGAATACTGGCACGATTCGTAGCCGCAAATTCCAAAAAGGCCCCAACAAAGAGCATCAGCAGTCTTTGCTAACGACATGCTCGGCCACCACTTACCTGCGTGGAATTACATACTTCGTCGTAACCCACAGTCTGGCGCGCCATCATCTTAGCGCTGCGCGGCGCGACAGCGGGCAGTTTCTAAACAGGCGCGGCGGACAGGTCTGTTGCAGCCTGAGGGATTTTGCTCGAGAACATGTGCGTGTTGGCGATGAAGCTCTGGTAATCAGCGGGGAAGGTCGTGGCGAAATCACCATTTGCAGCTGCATCGGCGTAGATGCACTCCCCGGTGGTGGATGAGGAGTGCAGACCTTTTGGACCAAACTGAGGCTCTTTCCAGTGCATGCTGGTGGCCTAGAAGGTGTCAATGTTAAAGAACACCGCGGTGCAAGTGTCGAAGCCGCCAGCAGCGGTAACCACTGGGGCAATGAGAAGGGCAGCGAGACCGATGGTGATGGCTTTGGAGAGGGTCATGGTTGCGTCAGAGTGGGGTGGGGTGGCAGGAATGATAAGTAGTATTGTACTATGTAGAGAATAGAGCAGATATCAGACTGGCTGGTAGCTTAATAGTTGCTAATAGCGAGCATGAAGCCCTTCTCGTAGATTGATAGACGAGCCCAGGAACAAGAGACTATCACGCCACCAATTCTTTTTCCCTCGTCTTGGATCAGCGAGGTCTGGTCAAGTTGCATCGGAGGTTCTTGACGAAGTCAGCCTGGATGGTTATGAATGATCCGTTCCCAGTACACTTTCCATCATCATGAGCGTGAAGGCAGCGTTGTAGGTGCGCAGCAGCTCATCCATTCCATAGGCCGCTCGCAAATGCTGTCTTGGTCAACGGCAAACACCGCATCTGCATAGTCGTGAATCCGCCTCTTCAAATTTATGGCTTCATGTGCAGTCGGGCGTAAACCTGGGCGTGATTCCAGACGGATGGAGTTGATCAGGATCCAGTACATGTATAATCCAGCCCGTGGGCGGAGGAGACAGAGCCCTGACGTATCCAAGAAGCTGCTAAGGTTGAGGATGTTGAGATCGAGAAGGGGAAAGACGTTAAGGTCAAGGGACCTGCTTAGTCGGCTGTACCCCAACAAGAAGCTCTACACCCATCAGCTATGATGATCTGCGGGGGGCTAGCCTGTCGACAGTTTTTGTGATGTCATAGTTGACCCAACATTGCTGCAGTTGATCGCGCCTCATGGCATGTCCGACTGCCCAGGCGGAGTTATGCCATGGCCATTGTACGCATTGCCGAAGTCGCTCTCGTGTATCGCATCGAACCACGAACGATCAACAACATCGGTCTTTTCCAGCGATGTATGGTATATTCGTCCATCGTGTTGGGTAGTGGAAGGAGTTGAGGAAACAGACACGGGCCTATCGCTCTCAGGGACAAGCGTACCGTTATCGCGACTTGATCCCATGCTGGACTGACGACCAATCGCTGTACCGGGCGAATTGATTTCGTCAGGAATGGCTTTCATTAGCGCACTGCTTGACACATCAAGCGACACTAGGGCTCTTTCGAGAAAGTCTGCCGATCTGCTCGAGAGGCGTATAGTCCATCTATACTGATCAAGATGCGCCCGGTATCTGGCTGCCTCTTCCCTACTAGGGGATGTCACCCAGAGAAGCGATATGAAAGAACCGATGAGTATAAAGTTGTAGGTGGATGATGAATACCAAAAGGATTGGAAGTGTTCGGGTCGGAGGGATTGCACGAAGCCCATGGCAGATGTAAGTCGGATCTGCGCTGCTTGTCGGCATATGGTGTGGAGTTCGGGGCCGTCTGCTGGAGACAATGAGCGGATGATGCGTCGATGAAGTGTCATTTCGACTGCGTAGTAACCAAGATGAAGATAGCCGACGCTAGAGAGCTTCCTCGCAGCTATATCCTGCACCTTGAGCGCAGTTGGCATGTTAGCATACCATTGACGTAGCGTGAGCTGCAAAGGCTTCGCTGCAGTAAGCAGTGGTCGTACGCCTTCGTGCGCACGACTGGCGAAGTCGCGCTCTGCCTTCAGCGTATAGAAAGTTGATAGGATTTGTGCCAAGATCTGTGTAAGCTCTACCATGTAGCAGAACAAGATCCGACCTTTCTCCACTTCAGTGCTTCCGTCTTCGTCATCCTCATCAGCGGCGCTCTCGGGGAAGTCGTCAACAGTCAAAGGCTGTACATCCCAATCTGTTGGAGTAATGTGCGAGGGGCGACCGTGCACCAGTGCACCCCATTTATCCTGCATGAATACAACCCACGCCAATCGCTTACGAAGGCCACACTCCCAGGCTGGGATGTGCCATGTCGTACAGTCAAGTTGCAGCCCCATATCCTGCGCTAGCCCGACCATTTGACATGTCAACGCCCAGCTGTTGCCCTCTGGTCGCTGAAGCAGCAGCAACCCTGCCTGTATAGTAGAAAGCTTAGGCCTGTGAACGATGTTACTGAACGATCTCATCGTTAGTGACTCTAGATGCGAGACGTCTGGCTTTGGTTGCAGTGCTAGCTCGCTGGAATACGACCACCAGTTAAGGGCTAGGAGATAAACTGCCGCTAATAACGGCGGCGAGAACTCTCGATGAGTCCGCTCATACTTCTCAAGGAACACTTTCTTGTGCAGAATCGGGAAGCTGGGATGTACGATCCGAAAGAAGAGACGTATCAACGCGGCGCCATGTGGTGCGACGGCTATCTCGATAGAGTCGAGATCCGGGATGTCGCCTTGACTGTTGAGTGTACCGGCGTCGGGCGATGAGACGAACGTCGTTGCATAAGCTTCGTCTACTTTCCGAAGCTTTGGATGGCCAGCCAAAGCATCAGCAGCGCCAGCGGATTGAACTGGCTCAAGTGCCAACAAAAGACGTTCGTACTCCGAAGTCGAACCGACAAGATGACTGTGCCTGCTGGTCTGCAATCCCAGCGTCTTCTTCAGGAGCGAGGGGCCGTGTAGATTTGCGTAGTCATCGATTGGCGGATCCTGTCGGATTTTGGCAGTAGTATTCTGAGGTGATGTAGACTGGGCAGTGTTATTCCTATAGTCGTTTCCAAGAGGTATTTGGCCACGGGCGGTTTCAGTAGGCTCAGAGGCCTCGTTAAAGGCCACGGCACGTCGTTTCCGAGGTAGTGGATTTTCATTGAAGGTGCATTCTTGATCATGGAATTGACAAAGAACGCATGGTGGTCCGGTGTCTGATATTTCGCACCGTGACTTCCGTCGTCGGCAGGGATCGCATGGACGTCGCGATTTTGGCTTCGTAGTGTGGGCGTTGGATGTGCGCGGGAAGTGGTAATTTGGCGGCGTGTTCTCACCAGGCGTAAAGTTCATGCTTGCATCTCAGCACGCAGTATATGTCCGTCTCAGTAGCAGACGGATAACCCCAGTAGGTGTGCTGTTGATGGAATCGCGATACGTGGAACGCGTCCGCGTGACGACTTCGCGAGATGGCTGACAATGAAGTCTTTTCCATAAATGCATAGCATCACACTGTCATTCCTGCTTGGGCGTGTGTTGGATATGGCCAGTAGTTCATTGATGTCGCTGATGACGTGGGTGCCATGTGCGATGAGTTGGTCCACCGGCAGGGAGGTTGGGGGATGAAGAGCACATTGGACGCGAGAGAACCGAGGCGGTCCAGCCTGTCCGCGGGTGGAAGCACGGACCAGGTGGAAATTGATCAGCGGCATCACTAAAAGAACACGAGAGCTTCGCATCTCGCTCACGACATCATCTGTAGAAGGCAGGAGACAATATTGTTGGTCAAGATTGAGTACTTGGCGCGGTATTGGTTAAGCCATATTAGCCATCTCCTTCTCCTTCGCCACAAAAGTTTCCTTGTTCGATAGTTCCTCGCCCTCGAGAACCGGCGCGACCACCTCACCCTTTTGCGGCGGGTACACCGCGCATTCTACCAACGATCCTGTCGCCGGCGAAATGTATGTACATACAACGTCGTGCGTAAACAGCGAAAGGAAGAACCCGAATATCCAGGCAAACGTGTATACTTTCCATGCGCCACCAATGTCTAGAGCATTATCGATACTCTTAGCAAAACCTGGAAGGAGGGGAGCGAACCCTACAACAAAGGACACATAAGCCCTCCAGTTCCAGCCTCCATTGTACCAGTAGATGCCGCGATGCGTGTAGAGCTGATCCACATCCAATTTGCATTTCTTGACGAGGTAGTAGTCGCTGACCATAGTACCTGCGAGAGGACCCATGAGGCATGAGTAGCCGCTCAAGAACGAGAGCAGACCCGACACGTTCTTGATAATGTTCCATGGCGTGGATACGATACAAAAGACGGAGATGATAATCGTAGCTCGGAAGATGTTGATATACTTTGGTAGCATGCCAGCTACGTCGTTCGCGAACGGGTAGGTATCCGCTGCTATCTGGTTGCCGATTGTTGCAAGCAAAAAGCTGGCAGAGACGAAGAACTTCGCAGCTCGAGAGTCGAACTTGGCAATGACGGTTGGCATATACCATTCGAACTCGCCCCACAGGTACGAGTGCGCATCGGTGACAAAGATCGGTGTGAGTGCGCCCAATGTTCCGATGATGGGGAGGGCGAGGAACTGATGGTAGCCAGCGAGCTGATTCTTTGAGAACCTGCCGAAGTCGGGCATGTTGACGGCCAAAGATGAGAAAAGTCCGACTACAGCGTTGAGACCGGTGAGTACCGAGTAGATGGTGTTCATATAAGTTGAAGTAATCTCCACCTTTCCTTTGATGAGCGGGCCGCCACTGCATTTGAAGTCAGCATCATCCACGGCTACGGGTTAGGAAGAGATCACCCACCCTTTCGTTACTATGACGGCCCAAAGAAAGAGAGCGAAGAATGTTGGCGGCACGACGATACCCTTGATCCAGAAGAGGACGCGCAATTTCGAGATTGGCATGAGGGCGAGCGCAGTCTGCAGGAACCAGTACAAGAACAGACAGAGCAACCCGGCCGCTGCAACAACATTAGTAACGTCCTAACATGATCTCAGAAATGTGAGCCTTACAGTCAATACCAGCACTCTCCGGTAGATGATTCGGAAAGGTAATGAAGCTCGGCCAGATCGCCTCAAGGCAGCGTTGCAGAAAGTTGCTCGCCTGGACTGTTAGGATCGCAGCCCACATCATGGCGACGAACGCTCGAATGCAGATGGCCGGGAACGAGCCGTACATGCCAAAGACACTTCGGATGATGACCGGGAAGGACACATTGTATGTGGCACCCATCTTGCCAGTGAGGGTGATGACAACGCTGCAAATGGCAAAGCCGAAGAAGACGATCGGAATTGTCTCTCTGGCTGTGAAACCCAGAGCCATTACACTGCTCACGGTAGACGCCAAAGGAGGTGCGAGCATGTCCGAGCACCAATATGCCCAGTAGTCGAGACCACCCCAGGTACGCTGTTCTGGTGGTACTGGATCAAGATCTGGTGTTCGCACGACGATCAGCTTGATTCAATTACACATAAATGCCTTCTAAACACGCACCTTTGTTCGACCAGCGCGACCCATACTTGCCGCTTTCGAAGGGTACCCTCAGATGAAGATGAGGTGCAAGCCTCGCTTTGAGCACAGACATGGTTTAGAACGGCAAAATGAAGTAGGGAAACACAAATGCGACAGAGCTATGTTCATCCTTTATCAAATATCGAAGTCTTGATCTCCGAGCTGTCCCAGCTACATGCGTCTCCATATCAAGATAGTCTCCAGCTTGATAGCCATATCGGCTCCCGGGTCGGAGATAGTCGCTGATGACATGGCGGGGTGCATGCGGAGACTAGAACAGCTCGGCACAATTATCTAGACAAGTAGCACTACAATCTGGATGTGTCGACGGGGATGCGAGAGCATTGGGCGCTGGGCATGATGGAGATTGCTCCTCGAAGAGCCAAGCTAGACCGATCCGGTACTAGCGTCACCCGATACCGATAAGACACCTCCAAATCCCGCCCGTAGGCCCGTAGGCCAGCTGCATACTCCGTTCGCGGCCCGCGTTGGAGTCCCCACGTTCATCCGATGGAGTCGATATCGAACGTAGATATGGCGCGTCGTCGTTCCCTGGCGAACTGCTGTATATGTTATTTTCCTATCTGAGTGTGTCTGCCCATAAACAACCTCCCAACTACCGGACCTCTGAATGACCACATTACCACGAACGATGGCAAACACCTCACGCAATGGCACGATGCTCTCTTTTGACGCGAAGCCATACGCGTTCTCCTTCCCTCTCGAGCACACTGCGTTACTCATAATCGATATGCAACGCGACTTCCTACTCACCAAAGGTTTCGGCGAAATCCAAGGCGGAAACCTAGAGGCGGTCCAAGCATCCATCGCCCCAACGAAAAAGCTATTGGAAGCGTGTCGGGGTGCTGGCATGACCGTCTTCCACACTCGCGAAGGCCACAAACCAGATCTCTCCGACTGCCCATCGTCAAAGTTGATCAGACAAGAAGCTGCGCCTGGCAACACCCAGCACAAACTAGTCATCGGCGACAAGGGCGAACTTGGCCGTCTGCTCACCCGAGGAGAATACGGACACGACATCATCGATGAACTGAAGCCGCTTCCTGGAGAGGTTATCATCGATAAACCCGGCAAAGGCTCGTTCTGGAATACGACTATTCTGCATCAGCTCAAAGCGCGAGCTATTACACATCTTATCGTGTCTGGTGTCACTACAGAGTGTTGCTTTGCTACTACTATTCGGGAAGCGAATGATCGCGGATTCGAATGTTGTGGTATCGAGGAAGCTACTAGTGGATATAACGATGCTTGCTTTAAGAAGTCAACGCTGGATATGATACATTGGTCGCAGGGTCTTTTCGGATACATTGGTGGCTTGCAGCCTCTACTGGACGCCCTGTCACCATTGTCAGGCCAAGGGGTCGCCGCCAAATCGACACCGCCTCAGACACCGCCGATCTTCGATGGCGACCTCACAATATCCGCTTTGCAGCGAGCGTACAAGACGGGACTGTCGCCTGTGACCGTGGTCGAGGCAATCTACGAAAAGATCGAAGCATACAAGGAGATAGACCCAGCGATTTGGATATACTTACAGCCACGCGAAGCAGCTCTAGACGCTGCAAGAAAGTTAGCATCGACATACCCCGACCGAAACGCACTTCCACCCCTGTTTGGCGTTCCCTTCAGCGTCAAAGACAGTATCGACATCGCTGGTCTTCCCACGACGACCGCATGTCCACCACTTGCGCACGTACCCTCAACCTCCGCTCCAGTATACGACAAAGTCATCGCCGAAGGCGCCTTGTTCATAGGAAAGGCCAATCTAGACCAGCTCGCGACCGGCCTCGTAGGATGCCGCAGCCCATACGGAATCCCACACTCAGTATACCACAAAGACTACATCAGCGGCGGATCAAGCAGTGGCATCACGGTCTCCGTAGGAGCGAATCTCGTCTCCTTCTCACTAGCAACAGACACAGCCGGCTCAGGCAGAGTACCCGCTGGCTTCAACGGCATCGTCGGATACAAGCCTACACGAGGTACTATCTCCTTCCGGGGCATCACACCAGCATGCTTGTCGCTGGACTGCATCGCGCTCTCCACAAAAACCGTATCCGACGCACGAACCCTATGGCAAATCCTAGAAGGCCACGACGAGCTCGACCCCCACGCGAAACCCGAGATGGGCTTCGAACGCCACATCAACAGCATCGGCCCCCAATCACGCAGTTTCAAATTCGGCATTCCGCCACCCGAAGCACTCACTATCTGCTCACCACCCGCTCGTCGCATGTTTAACGAGACGATCTCGAGATTACAAGCCATCGGCGGCGTCCTCACACCAATCGACTGGTCGCCCTTCCAAAAAGCCGGTCAACTACTCTACGACGGCACATTCGTATCTGAACGCCTCGCCTCGCTTCCAAACGACTTCCTCGAGAAGAACCGCGCAGCACTACACCCCGTAACCGCACAACTCATGGACACCGTCGTCGCGCGGAAGAGCTCGGCCGTATACGCTTACCGCGACCTGCAGGCCCAAGCCCTCTACACTCGACAAGCAGAAAAGGTCTTCGCATACTCTGCTTCGGGTGTTGATATTGTCGTTGTACCGACTACGCCTACGCACTGGCGCATAGACGAGGTGCTCGCTGATCCCATCAAGAAGAACAGTATTCTGGGCGAGTTTACGCATTGTGGGAATGTGTTGGATCTTTGTGGTGTGGCGGTGCCGGCGGGGACGTATCCAGTGAAGGAGTTGAGCGGGAAGGAGGGTGATGAGGGTGTTTTGCCGTTTAGTGTGACGTTTTTGGGGGGGTCGAGGTTGGATGCTGAGGTTTTGGAGATTGCGAGACGGTTTGAGGAGGGGGGTATGGAGTGAGATGGGTATTCGGTCGTCTTTTCAAAGTCAGTGGCCTTGATTGTGGTACAAGTATCTCTGATGGGATTGCTCTTTATGTTGTTTGCGCTGAGGAGGACAATGTAGTAGCGCCGGAACGACCTGGAACTTGACGAGGTAGCCAGAAATATCTAGAGGTAACCAGTGCAATAACCCATCCACAATCACTTCCTTGTTCATGCGATGTCTTTGAGCGATGTTTGCTCAAGTATATTTTATCTACTCTGCTGCTCTGCAGGGAGCAGAGAGTAGGTACATCGTTCCACGTATCATCCAGGAACGCATCATCGCAAAGCGATAGCCATCAACCTCACCACGTAGCCAAGACCATGGGTTCGCAACGTTGCAAACACGACTCTGTCATGCAAACTAAGCCCTCGAACAAGCGTTGTGCCACCTGTCCAAATTATGACAAGAACGACATCTACGAAGAGCCTGTTCAGTCAGAAACACGCGAACCCAGTCTTCATACCAGCAGCCCCGTACAGAACAAAATCGAAGAAGTCCAGTCCGTAAATAAGCTCAACGAGAATCACAAAGATCACCATCATCCAGTACCCGAGAACGAGGAAGCGAAGCCGACGAAGGAAGTCAACGGTAGAATGGCAGCCCTCAGAGACAAGAAGAAGCCACTGTGTAGATATGGCACTCATCGCAAGCTGGATCAGCCAAGGGATGATATCAAACGAGAGGTGTGTAGGTTTCATAGGAAGAAGCTGACTGAGGAGAAGAAGTTGCAAAGGTGTGAGTAGAGAAGCAGTGGGAGATGTTTGAGTAGTGGAGGGGTATGTGGTGTACCTAGGTAGCTTCGCGTTGAGTAATTGTAGTTAGTATAGACGGCACACGGATCGAGATTGCCAGTACTGCGAGCGCTCGTCGCGATTGGAGTAAGACATTACAGCTGTGCATGAATGTTTCGCTTCCATACCACACATGTCTTTGGCAGCCCTCAAGAAGAAGCTCCGAGACTTGTAGAGAAAATTGTCGTAATGTGTCACACGTACCCATATTCTCACATTCTCGTCAAACTAATGTCTTTGAGACTCGTTTGCCAGACCATAAAGTGCATCCAACGGTGCCCAATAGATTGCAGAAACCAGACCCATCACTCAACGTATCTTCCAAGAAGGCCGAAAAATGGCTTTCCGCTTCCATACCAAAGCCTTGAGTCCAGTGGACCAATTACTGGATACCCACAGTCGCAAGTTCGCAAAGCCAGTCTACGATACAAAACAGCGCCCCGTCTTCCGCCCAGTCGATTACAAAGGCAAAGGAACTACCGACGAGCGCCGTCAAATAATATCTCAATACCGGATCGTCCTATGGGAGCTTCTTTCAGCAATCAAACTGGAGCTGTCACACCCCAACTCCCCCAAAAGCACGCCCTCGTCTTCCCCCACTTCGAACGACGCAGACGAAGAAAAAGATGAAGACCAATACGCAGAGGACATCCCAGTCATCCCATACGCCATCGAAGAAGAAGACCCACTCACTCCATCCACCATCCCATACCACATCTCAGCCCTAGACCTAGCCACCCCCGACAACCCTTTCCAACTCCTACGCACCCACGCCCATCCCTCCGGAAAGCACGCCAAAAAGCTCAACGACTGCCGCATGAGCACCGAACACCGAAAGCACGGTGCCCCAGGCTTCGCTAGGAAGATCAGGCTACCGAGATGTAGATTTGGTACTCGCCGCATGCTTGATCACCCTCGAGATGATCCGCCGCGGGAGGTGTGCTGGTTCTACAAGCAGTATGAGGATAAATCGGGTCACAACTGTTTGAGGTGATGAGATGGGAGGGTGTCTACTGGCCTTGTGGCTGGTTTACGTGCGGGCTTAGTCAGGGTGGCAGAGTTGGGATCAAAACAAGGGTGGGTGACAATGCAGGCGTTGAGTGTTTTCGAGTGTATTGTCATAGGCCGTGTTTTGTTTCTGCGGTTCTTCAGTTCCTGTAGCGCATTGAAATGTCCTTGCATCCATATAGAAGATAGAAGATAAAAGAAGTGAATCGAAACAATCTCATAATTGCTTGAACAACAGAAAAAAAGCTATGCACAATAGAAATCCAAAACCAAAGCGAACTATGCCGCTATGCCAAACCCAAATTACATAAATCCAAAAACCATCAAACACCATGCTTCATATATACTCATGCCCTTCAATCATGCATTACCCCCCTACAAACTCAGCGCAACAGCCGCAAACAACGCAACAACAAAACTAATCGTCGCACCGCTCTGCAGCTTCCCACCCGCACTATCGCCATGAATCCCCAGAATCTCTGCTTGTCTTGAGAAAGTAACGTTCTGGGGTATCGACTCGTTCAGACACTGTCCGTTGACAATATCCAGTCCCGCAAGATCATTCGGCTCACGGAAAAACATATAACTCCTGTTGTTCAATCCCTTGAAACCCTCGGTGTTGTACGGGAACCACATGTCTGAATCCGTCGCGGAGGTATTACGCAGGAAGATACATTGGACCTGGTTGGGGTAGTCGTGAGCGAGTTCGGGGTAAGCCTTCATGACATCGCTGTTCGAAGTATCGGCGACAAGGACGAATTTGCGCGTGGGAAAAGTCTCAAACACTTTGGTGAGGAGGAATTTGCGGATGGACAGCGTGGCGGATATGTCCGAGAAGTTCAGGGGACGCGTGTCGAAGGAGCCGCCGGGGTAGGTTTTGTAGATGAAGTCCATATACAGACGGGTCGCTTGCTCGGGGGTCGTAGTCAGGTAGTGGAAGTGTGTGTTGTTGGGGAGGGTGCGGGACCAGTTAGCATAGATCTCAGGCATGTTCATCCAGGGGGTGAAGGGGCGGGCGAAGGAGTTTAGGAGGCCTTCTTTGGGGTCGTAGATTTTGGTTACGCGCAGGATGTCGTCGATGTCGGAGATGAAAGTAATGCCCTCGGAGGGAACGAGGAAGGCGGTGGCGTTGCCGCTGTTGGTGCCGTTGGTGTAGACGTTTAGGCGCTGGACGTTGTTGGTTTCGTTGCCGGGGATGAGGCCGTTGGATTGGATGGGGACGAAGACGTCGAAGTCGCCGAGTTCCGTGGTCTCGTAGGGGAGGGTGAGGTTCTGGACGCCGCCGGGGGCTTCGATGGAGTTGCCGCCGCCGGGCTCGCCGTCACCGCCCTGCATGGGCGCGGGCTCGAGCGACATGGAGACATTGACGTCGCCTTGCTGGACGATGAAGATGGAGCGCGTCAGGTTGCGTGCCTGCTCCTTCTGGTTGTCGGGCAGCTCGGCGACGCTGGTGTCGATGAGGAAGACGTTGGCCAGGTCGTCGACCTTGTCCTGGCTGATATCCGGGAATTTGTACACATTGCCGTGGAAGCGAACGTTCCAGCCCTGGTCGGTCCAGTTGGCATAGGGAGGGATGTTGAGGACCTCGGTGGGCTTCGCAGCCAGGTCGTCGTCGCCGATGCCGAGGCTGGACAGGACCTCTTTGCCGGTGGGGAGGCCTTCGAACCAGCCGGGGATGCCTAGAGAAAAAGAGTCAGCACAAGCCTTACTAGTGCGAAGCTTGCCATGCAGGCGTTTGCTTACCCTCTGTGAAGAAGCTGGGCAGGTCTGTTCCCAGCACGCTGCCTATCGAGGCGGCGTAGTTATCCACGCCGCTCTTGATGTCGTCGATGATGTTCCTCTTCTCCACGTAGCTGTGCCGCCCTACGAACCGGATCGCCGCGGGAGTCACAACAGGCGCGCGCACTTCGACCTTGGCGGGGACAGCCGTCGGCTCTGGCAGCGCGAATGCATTGGCGAGGCCGAGTGTCGCGCTCAGCAGGAGAGCCCGCTGGGATGCGCGTTGGTGCACCATCTTGGTGGTGTTGTTGTGGTGACAGGGGCTGAAGACCAAGGGGCGCTCGCGTGGTCGTCGCGTAGAGGGAAATTATAGTCGAAGCGACAGACTAAAGGGAATACAAAGAAATGCAGAGGACTGAAGAGGAGGGAAGAGGCAGACGGACCGGGAAAGATGGCACGATGGCAAGAGAGTGGAAACACGCTTGCCGCGTTTCGCACGGGGCTAGACAGCAGGTTTGCGGTAAAATCGGTGTTGTTGGTTGCTGCAGGTACAGCCAGCATGATGTCATTCTGCATTGTGGCTGGGGGCCGAGCCACAGTGCGTCGATCGCCTCCCGTCACCCACCCTTACCAAACTCTCCACACCGTAACACTCCTTCGGAACTCGGCAGTCGCAGGTTGATGGCGAGACAAGTCTGGTGCTTATGAATGTTTTGATTGTTTTACATGCCGTTCATAGAGACTACTCCTATGGTACGAACACAGGGTGATACACTACTGCACTGACTCACGACTCCCCAACGACGACCCAAGGCCCCAATAGCGGCATATCCCTCAACGCATCACCCATATGATGGTACCCCTTCCTCATGGGCCAACATATCTTCGAGTCGCCCAGCAGCGTGTCCATCAGCCACCCACCGCGTCGCCGACAAGTGTCCCATGCTTCCCTCAGCACGTCGTGCACCTTGTCGTTCGGAGCAATGTCCTTAATGATATGGAAAAGCGATCTCATGCAGAACATGACCTGTTCTTGATCGTAATACCCCAGAGAATTTGTATCCCAGTGTCCAGGGAGCGTGCTCGTCCAGCGTGTGCCAGATGGATGTCGCGTTTCTTCGCCGTACCACCCTATCATGTCTAGAGTGAAGTGCGGGAGTGTACTTTGGTAGGAGGTTAGGGGGGGTGCAACGCGGAGGGGTGCGACGGGGAGGGTTATGGTTGAGCAGATGGCTCTCTCGTCTCGTTGGGATATATTTGTCTTGGTGTTGTGGAGGAAGTGTCTATGCACCTTGCGTACAAGATCGGATTGAGCTACCAGGTCTGCGCGCTCAGAGTCGCAGAGTATCGTGTTTGTGTTGTCTGGTACGGGGATGTTGTACAAGGCTGCGTTTAGCGAGTTGAAGTCCGCATTGAAGGTTATTGCAACGATTTCGATGAGGAAGCGACGGACCTGTTCGGTCTTGCATTCTGGTGGTTGTGCTTGCGATGGGGAGGTGTAGTTGATCTCGCTTTCAGCCATTTCCGTGTACTCAGGCGGCGGGCATGACAGTATGTCTTGGTGCTCTCCTTGCGGTATGTCTGATGGCGGAAGATAGGATATCTGGAAGCGACCTAGACGGCCTAGATCGGAAATCGGCATAATGGCGATGGTGAGGTATGATCAAGGGAGGTTGAAGTAAGACTGAAGAGGTGGAAGAGGGATGTTGTGCGTCTGCCGAGAGTGCGCTGGTAGAACCAAGGTTCAGGGTCACCTCGTTCAGCGAAGAGTAGGCGAGTACCAAACCCCGTTGTCAAGACGACATGGCCTCGCGAGGAGGAAGTTCTCTCGACCATCATGATGCTTGGAGGCGACATGTCGAATGCGCGAAGCTGATACGAGTGGCTTAGGTCCAGTTGAAGCATACAACGACTTCGTAGATCGACTTGCGAATAGCGCGTTCTGGACGTCTTCTGCAAACCGGAAATGAGTTGTGAGCTGTGACGAGCCAACCTCTCGAAAACATCCCCAAACGCAGCCTCTTCCAATGACGAATAAGAATACCCCCGTCCGCACCACTCCCTCTCATCACCAGGAGTGGCCCCAGGCCTAACCGCGGGGAGGTGGGGGACAAGGCCCTTAAAATACTCCCTAGATAACAAAGCTAATAGCTAACCATAATAGAAGAAAGGAATATTGGAAAGGAAAAGACGAATAAAGGAAAAGAAATCAACTACGTATATCAATGTACGCACTAAACATACAGATCAATAATACCGTTCATGCGCCCCTCAAACGCCGCCAACACCTCCCTCCTCTCCCTCCTCTCCCGCCTCTCCCAGGGCATCTCATACCCCGCCCAACGGGCCCAGCGGAGCAGCGCAATGGCCAAAACGGCCGTGATCATGTGTGCCACGAAGGCGTCGAAAACGCGCGTGGTGAAGCTGCAGTCGGACATGGTTAGGAGACAGCTATAGATAGAGGTCGTGGGTTAGTAAGCGAAGCAAGCGAGTGAAAAGCGATTTCAATGTATAGAGGGCGGGATTGCGTACCTAATCTTCTGTGTGTGGTTAGCTGGAGAAGAGAACAAAGGGTGCTGAGGGTGGGAATTACTATACTGTGGATGTGGGAAGGGGAGGTGCGAGGGCGTGGCTGCTCCGTTGATAAGGGGTTGTTGGTGCTTTCTGTGTAGAGTTGAGGTGCGATTACCTTGTGGTAGCCTGCGGACGACATCAGCACTAAAATCTTAGCAGGAGCACCTGGTAGGTATCTTTGAGGTACACATCGCAGGTAGCGGTAGTATGCACATATTCAGAGTTGTTGTTGATGTATACGTAGTCTTCTGTAATTTACGTCTGCTACTGTAAAACACTACGAATGCCTCCACGATGTGGTGATGTATTCACAAGCTCAATCTTACTGACGGAGTCTTCTCTTAGAGATGGCATCTGCAGAGCGCTTGCCTGGCGATAGCCTAGAGGCAACATCAACCTTGGAACGTTGGCAAGCGCATTCGCTGGGCACCTCTAGAGCATACATTATCAGTGGCAACAGCCTATATTTATTCTAGTGTATTCAAGAGGTATACGTAATCCTAGCTACCCTCTGTGTGTTGCCGCAAGACACAGTGAATACCTCCACGGTGAGGTATGACATCGAGATAATCTACTAAAGCGTTCAACGTATCCTCCAAAAATCCTGTACATTCCGAATGCCGGCGCGTCCGTACAGAACCGAACAAAAGCTATACCTGCTCCACTCCGCCTATCTCTCGCACTACTCCACCCTCTTCAAGCTACGCCTAACGCGCGATACTCTAATATATCTCGAAAAGGTAGAGCCCGAAGTCTTCGATATCTTCGTCGACTGGATGTACGGTGTTTGAGTCTAGTGCCCACTGTCGAGGCATCCTCACAAACGTTGGCATATGGCCAGACTCGTGAGCCTCTGCCTCCGTGACTTGGAAGTTGTGGATGGACTGTTCGTCCATGGGCTTTGTGGTGTCCTGGAACGCACGCTTGGCCGCGGCCTTGTCTTCGGGGGTGATCGGAGCGGAACGCGTGTTTCTGCGCGGCTTCTTGCTGCTAGACTGGAGGTTGGGGGTCTTGTTGGCGTTGCGGCGCCGCTTAAGGTTGGGGTCGTCCTTAGCCCTGCTGGCTTTGCGCTCTTTCTTCGGGGTGAGGCTACCCTTGCGGTTGTTTCCGGGGACAAGTGCTTGTACTACCTCTCTCGACAGCAATTTGAAGCCTTTGGAAAGCCAGATAGCGAAGATGATCTGGGTGAGGGTGATTGCTGTGAGGCCGACACGACCCGCTTTGTCCTTGACTGCTTGGCTGATGGTGTCGAAGTTGACGTGGGCCATCGAACTCACATGACCATGCTCGTTTTGGTACACTGGCGCTACCTAGGTAGGCTTGGGTCTGCGCAATTGCTGTAATTGCGCTGATAGTATGTGACCCACAGTCGTTCTCCGGCATGCGATCTTGCGAATGCCATGTATCTGCCGTCGAGAACGAGTGCTTCCCACTTCGTATTTGCTCTTTCTTGTGGAATGGATATGTGGGTGGGGTATTGCGGGTACTCTGGGAGCCAAGAGTCAGGGTGCCAGGCTCCGAAAAGGCGTTCAAGTATCGCTCATGCTTAGGAATGCATTAAGATCCGTCACTAGGGGTAGTGGTTTCCCAGGTAGAGTTTGTTTCGCATGTTGCTGCATACACACTACTATATTCGTATAACTTGTACGTTACGAAGACAATTTGTACGCCTACATTGATAATTATTTTGTAGAATACGATGCAAATTGTAAAAATCTCTAAGGGTGCCGTAGATCAGCACACAGCATAAAAGGACGAATTAGGTGATGAATATTGGAAAAATCCACGCGGAAAGCATCGATACCAGTCCGTCGATCATGAAAGCTAGAGTAGCGAGGAGCGCAATGGCATTCCGAAGACATGAGCATACACGGTAGGTATATCGGAGTCTGTACATGACGAAACATCCAAGAGAAACGTCCCAACGGAATCATAATGTCTGCTCCAAAACCACGATTCTATAAACTCATTCATCCCATTAAAATCCATGTAATCTACACACATACATCCTCCCGCACTAAACTTCAATAAATCTCGCCATCCACGTCCGCGTAATCTGCTTCGCCTCATCCACCAACCCCATATCCAACAACAACTGAACAGTCCCCCGTGTCGCAGATTCAAGCGCACTGAAAATCCACGTATGCGTAAACGTCGCCGCCTCCCCAATAAACACAGTGTTGAATTCCGTCTGATAGAACGCCGGAAGATACAGGGTCTGCTGCCCGAAAATCTGCATCGTGAAGGCACCAGCCTGGTGTTCGTCTTGCTCCCAGCATTGACGCTCGTAGTTGCCGGTCCAGTTCTCTTCGATGATGGACTCGCCGTGCATTTCGGCAAACGCGCGTTTGATATACGCCATGTGTTCGGCTTCGGGCATGGCGCAGGCGACAGTGGCTTCGTAGTCAGACAAGTAAGAGGCGAGCATTGTTCCTGGGCCGCTGGCGTTGACTTGCCAGCTCGGGTAGCAGATCTGGCCGAGATTAGGCTGGTAGAGGCGCGTGCACCCGCCTATGATGGGCTTGTCGAGATGTTCCCAGAAGCGCGTTTTGAATTGCACGGCTACTTTGCAGGCGTTGGCGAAGAGGGTGCGGTCGATGGCGCGTTTTAGCAGACTCGAGTAGCGGGGCAGGGTCCAGAATTTCATGAGGTTGAGGGGCACGCTGTTGAGGACGTAGTCGAAGTTTTCGATCGAGTCGGGGGTGGAGTAGGGTTCTGAGCCTGTGGGCCTCCAGGATACGGATATGGTGTTGTTGTTTTCGTTCCAGTGGAGGCCGTTGATTTTGGCGCCGTATTGCATGCGGTCTTTGACGAGGGGCTCGAAAGCTGCAGGCATTCTGGAAAGGCCGCCTTTTATCGTGACCCATTTGGAGGCGAGGAAGTAGACGGTTTCGTATTCCCACATGGGCCAGTAGATGTGGGATTGGCCGACTTCGTCGGTGGTGTTGAGATCAAATTTGAGCTTGTTACGGAGGTAGGCTACCTCGGAGTAGTCGAACATGCCGTCGTCTTTGGCTTGCTTGTAGGCTTTGAAGATGTTGGTCGCGTACATCTTTATGCGCTCTGCGTCTAGGCCTTTGAACTCGTCGAGAGCGGCGTTGGCCTCTTCGACAGCAGTGGCGTTGCCGTATGCGATAGTGTTCTTGTATGCAGGGTCGGTCGCTATCTCAGTCTTGCTGGGAATTGTTCCATCAGGACGGCGGAAGGGACTGTCGGCTGGGGTGTTGGGAGACGATTGGATCCATTCGATGAACTTGACATGCAGCTCCTCCTTGTCAGCGTTGAGTTCGTTGAGGACGTCGGCCAGTTGGAAGATCATGCGCTGGTCGTTGAAGGGGAAGGTCTCGTTGGTCTCAGAGTCTGTAATCTCGTACGGGAAACGCATGGGCCCAAGCTCGTGATATTGGCCTTCATCGGGGGAAGTGCCGTTGAGATAGGCTGTGCGAATGCGACCGCCAATACGCTGAGACGACTCGATGATCTTCCAGTTGTGAATACCAACAGAGTCCAGCATCAGCTATAAGGCGTTTCGTTAGCACCAAATTGGTGTTGTTATTGAAGCAATTACGTACTGAGGTTGCAAGCCCAGAGATACCTCCACCCAAAATACCAAAAGACTTATTCTTGGCCGATGCAACAAAAACCTCATCTGGCTGCTTCTGCTGCAAGTAAGCAACGCCATCAAACCAGTTACTGTCAGTTCCTGCAACATCAACGAACGACTTCCTCTCCTGTCGGCGAGCAAAGCGCTTGGTGACAACAAGCTCGTCGGACTTTCCGATGAGCTCTCCATCGAGGAAAGCATGAAGACAGCCCCCAGACATCTCAGCTGGAGTCAACCAAACGAATTTGTTCGGCCGCCTGTTCTCATGTTCCTCATGGCGTCTCGCCAAAGGATGAGCGCCCACATGCGTCTGACCTATACGTTGCTTCGCGGAAACGATGGAAGCGACAGCATCGTCACATGTCGCGTATGTGATCGTAAGCTCACCGTCGACATCTCCGTAGTAGTCGACGACGATATTTTGTGCGCTTCCCGGAGTAGTGCTTTTGAGAGGAGCGAAGACGACCGATGGCTGGCTCAGAGGTTTGGATTCCGAGAGCGAGGCAATGCTTGCCAGAAGCGGCAACAACTTGGTGAAGGACGGCATGCCGGAGGCTGATGGAAGACGAAGTCGGTAATCAAGGACCTCATGCCATTGCTCTTCGATATGCCCGTTTATGAATCTTCAGAGGAATTCCTTGGCAATACCAAGCATCGTTGGTATCTACCTTGATGTCCATGATACCCACTGTTGAGTATTCATCAGTCATTCCGCGATGTTATCGTGCGGTGCCGTAGGCTTTTTCTCCAGGTGTAAGCTCACCGAGAAGCCGCCGGTCCACCTCCGGTGTCATACTTGGCAGAGGATATCAATTCTCCATCACAAAAGCCTTGTTCAATATCTCTGCCTATTTCCAGAGTCCTTGAGAAACCATGATCTGCCAAAGTGCGGAGGTGTTGTCTTCGTGGCCAGCAACTTCTCATCGGCATTCACCCACGTAATCCCAGGCTCTGGATGCTGGGCTTCGGCGCATCTGAAGGCCGATCCATGATTGGAGCGGGCAATATCCTGGAGTCTTGGCTGATGAATGAGGATAAGTGGGGGAGATCAAGACAGTCCGTCGTCTGGGCGCTGGCTTTGCCAAGTACAGCTGGGTACGATTAGGTATGTTTTCCGCTCCGAACCACAGCCATCGATTACAACGCGCCAAGAAAGTATCGCGCGATATGTCTACATGTGCAGTTAGTGTACTGTTCAACCGAAAATCTCTGTCATTCACTTCTCAAAACGTTGCATAGGCCCATAGATTCTACTGCCGTTGTGGCCTTCGCCGGCTACTTTACTAACTGCTCTTTGAGTCTTCCGACTAGTCCGCCCGCTGGAAACTGCCTCTCCTCCTACTCGGCCCTTCGAGAACGCCCATCTTCTCATCATTACTACTCCGCCTTTCCCCTCTCTCAGCCTCTTCACTCTCCTGGAGGACCTGTTCATTCGAATCCGGTTCCACAACCTGTCCATGATTACCACCCACCGATTCCATAGTAAACGGACTCGCAGTCGGCGCATCAAGAACATTCAACTCTTCTTGCGTAAAGAAGTTGGGCATCAAGAACGTCCGCATGGGGATGTACAGAAAGATGAAGACCGGGAAACCAATGGCAGCGATTGTTTGTGTGATCGCGAAGGTAGCACCGAAGCCGACGAGTTCGAGTCCGACGAAAGCCCAGATGACCCAGCGACGCTTGATCTGTGCTAATGGGTCGGATCGGGATGTGAGATGCTTGTCCTTTGCGAGGAAGATGAGTTTTAGTGTGATGCCGTTTGCTTCTAGTGCCTGGATTCCCATGACGAAGAACAACCCAGCTAGTACAGCTTGTGGTATGAGGTGCAGTACGATGAGGAGTGGTCCGGTCATCGTTCCCAGAGTGAGGAGGCCTTGAGCGAGGTTTGACACGCGCTGCTCTACCACATGGTCGACAACGCGTTTGCCATGGCCTTTGTTGTCTTCGTCGTCGGAATCGGCGACAGTGCGTGCAACGCAAAGTGATGTAGTGTGAAATGGCGCCTGCGGGATGAGACCGTTCGGGAATGGTATGCCTAGTAGGCCCGCAACTCCAGTCGTGATGCCCAAGAGAAAGATATCCCAATGGAAGCCTGCCGGTTTTCGCAGCGGGAATTCCGTGCCCTGCGCGATCAGACTGGAAACGTTGTGGTCGAACCAGAACAGAATCGTCAGAAGTACGGCGAAAGGAATAGCCAGGAACACATCGCCGACACTTATATCCCAGAAGTGGATGAACCATCCGCGATCGGTAGTCGGAAAGAACGCCTTCGAAGTAGGTAGCTTGAGCAACTCAATGCCAGCCATCTTTCCAATGTGTACAAAGCCAGTGAAGAAAATCACGGTAAGCGGCGTACCGTAGTCCTCGACGAACTTGCGAACGTGGCGCTGCAGTAACGACGACTGTCCTACAATGCCGCAGATGTATGCGACCGCAGTGACCAGCAACGCAATCACAATCGAAAGGTATGCCGACGCGTCGCTGACAGCCCATTGCCTTGTCAACACCTGTATCCCCTTTTGTAGATATATGAATGCGACGTAAAACCCGAATATGTCGCAAGAGAACCGCGTAACGTATCGTAGGCCGTTGCAGGAGTTCGTGATTGCGAGAATCCAGTGGAAGATCAGGGACCATATGCCTATCCAGCACATGAAGGCGAAGTAGTTCGTACCCCGTGGGGTGATGATGTCGTATACGGTGTAGTTGAAGACGGTGATCGGTCCAGTGACGCCCACGATGACTAGAGGTTGCGCTGCTGCGAGGGAGAAAACGACCGAAGCCAGCACTGAGGCGAGAAGGACCTCGTTGACGCCGAAGCTTTCATTTGTCTTCTCGAACATGTCGAGCGAGAAGGCGAGCGCTGGCAGAATGTTCGCAAAGTACATGTAGACTGTCGCGGGCACGACGCGATAGTCCCACGCATCTTTCCAGTCGCTTAAGTAGAAAGGTGCTCGCCGCCGTATGTCGTTTATCATGCCACTGAACAGGCGTGTCTTCCACCAGGCATTCTTGCTCGAGGCCGCCGTTCTATGCGACTGTCGCGTGGGTTCCCGAGTTATCGCATCGTTGTTGGTCGTGGCATTGCGCTTCGAGGGTCGGAGTACACGCGACTTCCACGATCTATTCGCGTATTCTGAAGACATGGTTGGACGATGGCAGAGGCGTGGCTTTGGGCTGGTACGCTACGGGTATTTGCTCGCGGAGGTATTATATCGAAGATGTCGTCATGACAGGGCGGACTCCAAATTGAGAAAGCTACCCAGGGAAAGGAGGCGCGGGGTAGTGCAGATATACCAGCTGAAGGTACCCTAAAAGATATGCTTCAACAAAGCTGGACGAGCGGAAGGAGCTTGCCGCCATGGTAAAGGTTGGCGAGCTTGTTATGTATGGCGAGGGGAGGAAAAGTCGACTCCACACACCGCCGCCCGGGCAGACTCCGGCTCGGATTTACGGCCGGCAATAATCTTAGCGCAATCTCCCCGCGGACCCTGATGGCGACATGTTCAACTGCCATCGCATCTGCGACACCTCCATGACCTCTAAACCATCTGAACTCTCCTCAGCTACAAGACACCCGAACGAGCAATCGCGCATACATCATCTGCTCGTTGATATCAGGCTACCGTTGACGATGGAGCCCAGCGACACAAAGCCCATCACCCGTGCTGTGAAGACTTTCACATGATGCAAGTCGGCGGATGAACTCGATGCTAGAAAGTTTGCAGAGATGCTGATCGACGATCATTGCGGACATGTCCTCTTGTAGATGGTACGCTTTATCGCGCATGATCAGTAGAGGCTAGTTAGAGAAAGAGCTCGGAAAGTCGGACCGCTGTTGACATATCATCAAAATTGCGACTTGCTACTACTTCGACGATGGACTGAGACGTATACAACGCGCATCGCAACGAAGCTCGACGCTGTTAGTCGCGATGCGCCCGAGAACCGGAGACGAGATTTTGGCGGGGTTCGCGCTGGTGCAGCAAGCTGCAGGGGAGCTTGGAGGCGGTCTGCTTCCACCTGCAGCATGCAGAGACTAAGCCCTCTCAACGTGGTCGTACAGTCTCTTCACAAAGAAAATAAAATTCCTCTACCAACGCCCGACTCAGCACGAAACAGCCATCATGCCCTCAATGGCGAGCTCCATCCACCCCGACTTCCGCGACGACGTCACCTCAGCAGAAGCCCACGCAGTGGACCGGGAAACAGAACGTCTAATCCACCAACAAATGGCTGCGGACAACGCAAGTGGCCGTGAAAGATACATTCAGCTCGCCAAAGAGATGCTGCGTATTAGATTGCGCGCCTACAAGCCCGAGTCACCACCCGTTGCTGGTGCATGGTGCCTGATCGGATCGGCACATCTCAAGGCCTCTCAGCTGCAAGAGGCAAAAGAAGCCACTGAGAAGAGTCTTGAGATATACGCCAAAGGCGACGATAAGGATGCCGCGGCATTGGCGAGGGAACAGTTGGGTTTGATCTTTGAAGGCTTGGGCCAGATCTCCGATGCTAAGAAAATTCGACTGCAAGGTGCGTGTGACGGAACGATGGTGTGTTCGAGTCCACGGGTACGTTGATCATGGTAAAGCATGAAGTGATTCTTCTAACAGGCTTATGTAGTGTCCCTATGCACATTACGCGTTCCGCGTACAGAACGACGGCCGCCCCGGGCTCTTCAAGTTGGCTGAACTGAATGCGTGTGGTGCATGCAATTCGGCATTCTACTGCGAACGGCAATGTCAACTGCAGGACTGGAAGAGACATAAAGTTCCTTGTAAGGCATATATGGCTGCTCAAGTAGATTAGGAGGGCACATTGCTCTGCTGTCACTAAATTACAGTGTCCACGTGGTCTCCAAAGCCTTCGCCCTTTTGCAAAACCTGTTCACCCATGTCAGTCCAGTCTCTTGTCGTCATAACAGCGCATCACTTGTCACTTAAACGAAACTTGTGTTGATACTTTCGTAGTTTGATATGTACTACCCATGGCAATGTAGTTTCTACTTCAAATAACCAACCAACGATATCGTGAAAAAGGGGGGTATCAAAATGGCTTCCAAAATCATCCATGTGAAAAATTCCCTTGGGGCCGTCCATCCATCCATGAAGAAAAAGAAAGATCCAAAAAGCCTCGTGGATCCTAACGTGAACGCTCACTATATAATTTACTGGAATTGAAAAGATATCATCCATCACTCCCCCATCCTTCGCGTCTTGGGACTCTTCTTTGGAGGGGGGTTGAAAGAATCGCTCGTGCGGGCGCGTTTGAGATTCGCCGGTGGACCAGCCCTGCTGCTTCCACTGCTGGCCTGGCTAGCACGCTTAGCCAACTTCGCAGCCTCGCGAATGCGAACACCACCGGCAGGGCTGTTGAACCCACTTCCGCCTCCAGCGGTTGCAGCCGAACTTCCAGCGGGAATCTCCTCGGCAAGACGATCGGCGAGAGCAGCGTCGTATTCGCGCTCGCTAGCACGGACAGCGCTGGGGTCTTGTTGGCGGGCTGTAGCGAGCATGTCGACGCTGCCGTCGTCGCTGTCTTCGT